GTGGCTTAATGGTAAAGTGTCCCTGGGTTCAATTCCCAGTACCAAAAGAAAGAAGAAGAAAAGAAAGAAAACATTGTGCTAAGTGAAAGAAGTCAAGATGCAAAAGACCACATTTTGCTTGATTTCATTTATATGAAAAGCCCAAGGTAGAAAAATCCACAGAAGCCATAGCTGAGTGGATATTTACATTTAGAGGTTGGAGGATAAGCATTTTTCAATTGAAAAAAAATATTCTAAAATTGTGTTTATGAATATACAACTCTGTGTCTATACTGAAATCCATTTAATTGTATACTTTAAATGGATAAATTACATGGTTTGTGGATTGTATCTCAATAAAGCTATTTTTAAAGGAGTAGGATAAGGAAGAATAATGATGGCATTTGGGTTTTTTTCCTTGGTCCCCATGTCCGAGCTCTGGCTATAGCAGATAAAGGATTCTCATGAAACACTTTTGTAACAGGAAGAAAAAATTTTTTTCTAGTTGTTACCAGATGATCTGTTGATCATCTGACATACTTGGGGATAACTTAAGAAACAGTAACTATATATAATGGGACTTTTATGGGTGAGAAGGAACTACAGAGAAAGAGAACTCTGCAAAAAGATGGTGGAGGGAAGCATTCTCCAACAGAAATAAGGAAAGAGTCAAGAAACCTGATACTTAGATTAAAGGATCTACTGAATCGCCCTGTTTTGTAAACCTCCCTGGTTGGTAGTTCCCAATCCAGCAGTAAATCTCTATCACCTTCGCTCAGTGATATTGAGGGTTATGGTCCTGCATTTGAGTTGCTGCTGCCCTGGAAACTGTGATCCCATGCAGTGCACCAAGTGAAGAACAAGAATTGAGCAGAAATCAGAGCCATCTACTGTCTTTCCTATTCCTRTACCCCTCCCTTCCCTTTGTTCACCTTTGTCTGATTTACTGAACTTCTCTTCCTCCCCTCCCCATTCCTTTATTGTGACTTAGCTTCCACATATCCACAAAAAATATTCAACCTTTGATTTGGGGGGATTGGCTTATTTCAGTTAGCATGATAGTCTCCAGATCCATCCATTTACTTGCAAATGTCAGAAAGTTGTTCTTCTTTAATGGCTGAGTAATATTCCATGATGTATATATACCAAAATTTCTTCATCTGTTATGAATTGTGCTGCTATAAACATTAATGTAGCTGTGTCACTTGTAGTATGCTGATTTTAAGTCTTTTGCCGGAAAGAATGGGGTCCTAATTAGAAAAATATATATTCCATGCTTGTATAATTTTATGAAAGTGGATTCCACTAGCATGTATAATTTAAGAAGAATCCATTTAAAAACGAAGAAAATAGACTCCGGCTCCAGGCGGCCAGCGCGAGCGGACCCAGGCCACCCTGCTGCAGCCGAGCATCGTGGCGGCGCAGCAGTAGCAACAGCAGCAGCTCGCGCGAGGCCCCGCGCCCCCCGCAGCCCCTCCGGGCTCCATGCACGGAGACACGGCCCGCCGTCCGGGACCCGCCGGGGCTCCGGTGGCCTCGGGCTCCTTCGCGGCCCGCGGGTCTGGTCGCCCCCGCGGATCACCTCGATCCGGCCGTCCCGTGCCAGGAAGTGGCCGTCCTGAGCGCCATGGCCCACTCCCCGGTGCAGTCGGGCCTGCCGGCCATGCAGAACCTAAAAGCAGATCCAGAAGAGCTTTTTACGAAATTGGAGAAAATTGGAAAGGGCTCTTCTGGTGAGGTGTTCAAAGGCATTCACAATCGGACTCAGAAAGTGGTTGCCATAAAAATCATTGATCTGGAAGAAGCTGAAGATGAGATAGAGGTCATTCAACAAGAAATCACAGTGCTGAGTCAGTGTGACAGTCCCTATGTAACCAAATATTATGGATCCTACTTGAAGGATACTAAATTGTGAATAATAACGGAATACCTTGGCGGAGGCTCTGCCCTGGATCTATTAGAACCTGGCCCTTTAGATGAAACTCAGATTGCCACCATATTAAGAGAAATTCTGAAAGGACTTGATGATCTTCATTCAGAGAAGAAAATCCACAGAGACATCAAAGCCGCCAGTGTTCTGCTGTGGAGCATAGAGAGGTGAAGCTGGACGACTTCAGAGTGGCGGGCCAGCTGACAGATACCCAGATAAAGCAGAACATCTTCGTATGCACCCCCTTCTGGATGGCGCCCGAGGTCATTAAACAGTCAGTCAGCTTACGACTGGAAGGCAGACATCTGGTCACTGGGTATAACAGCTATAGAACTGGCGAAAGGGGAGCCCCCCCCCCATTCAGAGCTGCATCCCATGAAGGTTTTATTCCTGATTCCAAAGAACAACCCCCCACACACACACTGGAAGGGAACTACAGCAAACCCCTCAAGGAGTTCGTGGAGGCCTGTCTGAACAAGGAGCCGAGCTTTAGACCCACTGCTAAGCAGCTGCTGAAGCACAAATTCATAATGCGCAATGCAAAGAAGACATCCTACCTGACGGAGCTCATCGACAGGTACAAGCGGTGGAAGGCCGAGCAGAGCCAGGACGATTCCAGCTCTGAGGACTCCGAGGCGGAAACAGATGGCCAGGCATCTGGAGGTAGTGACTCCGGGGACTGGATCTTCACAATCCGAGAGAAGGATCCCAAGAATCTTGAGAACRGAGCTCTTCAGCAGTCGGATTTGGTGAGAAACAAGATGAAAGACATCCCCAAGAGGCCTTTCTCTCAGTGTTTATCAACAATTATTTCTCCTCTGCTTGCGGAGCTGAAGGAGAAGAGCCAAGCATGTGGAGGGAACCTGGGGTCCATAGAGGAGCTGSGAGGGGCCATCTACCTGGCAGAAGAGGCTGCTCCAGGATCTCCAACACCATGGTGGCCCAGCTGGTGCAGTGGCTGCAGAGATATTCTCTAAGTGGTGCAGGAACTTCGTCCCACTGAAACCCTTTGGCCTCTGGGGTTTTGTTTTTCCTCCTTTCTTTTGCATCCTCCTTTTGAAAGGAGAACCTTTGCCGACTCTGCAGGAGGCGCCACAGAGGGCCACCCCCAAGGCTGAGCCGTCCAAGGACACACTCAGCCCTCGCTGTGCCACAGCCTGATGAAGTCTCTCGCATGGGGTGGGGAGGGCCAGCTCCTTCAAGCAATTATTTTRTTTTTTTATTGTTTTTAATTTTAACCATAGTGCACATATTCAAGGAAAATGTCTTTGAAAACAAAACCCCTGAAGTGTATATTTGGGATTGTGATAAGGCAACTAAAGACATGAAACCTCAGGTATCCTGCTTTATTTAAGTCGATAACTCCCCCGGGAGATGGAGAATCGCTGGTGGATCTGTGTACAGACTGTACATAGCGTCATTTTTACAGAAACCCCTTTGGCGTGGATAAGGAATCACTGTGTACAAATCGGCCAAGTGCTTCTGTAGGTAAGGTCCGTGGAGTAAATATTTGACAGGCCATAACTTGAGTCTATTGCCTTGCCTTTATTACATGTAAATTTTGAATCATGTGACCAGTGATTTGGGTTTTATTTTGTATTTGCAGGGTTTGCCATTAATAATAATTAACACCAATCGATGGAACACTCCCATTTGTACCTCGACAGATGCAAATGTCCCTCTTGTTTGTCCTTCACCCCTTTTGGTACACTTAGAAGTTGATTTCCTTTTTCATCGATGGTACTATTTCTTAGTGTTTTAAATCGAGACATATCTTGCCTCATGAAGCTTTAAATTATTATTCTGAGTTTCCCAGAGGAAGTGCTCTTGTCTAACCTTTGTTTGGAGTCCTGCACCAGGCCTACTGTCCTGCCCACACGATTTTCTGTTGCACCTCATAGCGGAATCTGCATATCATCATCTTTCCCATCTGGAAGTGTCTGGATGCTTACACCAATAAATTTTGTAACACACTTAAAAAAAAATAAATAAATTTTAAAAATAAAATAAAAATGAAGAAAATAGAGGCTTGTTATGGCTCAGTGGTAGAGCRCTTGCCTAGCATGTGTGAGGCACTGGGTTTGATCCTTAGCACCAGATAAAAACAAATTAAAAAATAAAGGTATTGTGTCCATCTACAACTAATATATATAATAGTATATACATATATATATATTCACTAAAGAAAATTAAAAATAATTTTAAAAAACAAAAAACTATAAATAATACACACACACACACACACACACACACACGAAATCAGAGCCATCAATGATCAGTGGTCAACGAGCCATAAACACCTGAATTCTCGGTAGTCTTCCCAAGTATGTGTCTGTATGTTGAATAATCTTGATATTAAGGGAGTTTGGGTTATGTATATACTTGGAAGGCCAAAGTTTCTAACTATGACATATGCTGCAGGGCTGGGTGGCATTCACAGATGATAGGTCTTTGAAGCTARGAAGGAGCACAGAATATGGAACAGAAAAAAAATAAGTGGAGTAACTGACACAGGAAAGAGCAGCAACAGGAATGCCAATAATAGTCATCAGTATTTATTGAGGATGGCAAGAGAAGTCTGTGGTTTAAGGAAGCTTTTTCTGGCTGATGTTGGAACCAAACCCAGGAAAATTGTGATGCTGACACCAGGTAATTGTGGGAAGAAGACAGAGTCAGGAATTCTTTAAAGTAATGTTTTCAATAGCCTGGGCCAATGTGGTCCTTTGATATCCTTCGAGAGCCTCTAACTTGTCATGGATGTGAATCCCCACTAACTGAATGCTTCAAAGAAGATCTAATCATAGGGTTTCCTTCAGGCAAGCCAAGTGCCTTTATAACTGTAAATTAGAGATCRAGCAGAAGCTGAGACATTTCCTAAGTAGGAAAATTGAAGGGCAGGCAGTAGAAGGGACTGGTACTCGCATCCTGGTCCATGGGCGGAATTCTCCAGTTGATGGGGATGGGCACTGGGGGATGGACTTGAGGGCAGTGGTCATAACTCATCTGCCTGAAAATTGGTTATCTACTTGGAACATATGGAAGTTGTACTTCCCAGAAGGGTGAAGGATTTGCCCCCAGGTAGACGGAGACATCAGGGACAGGAAGTGAGAGGGTCTTTAGGGTCCTTCTCACCTGCTTCTAGAAACTGCTCTTTTGTTTCCACCACTGGGAAGTTGCCAGTTGGTTCCTTGTATCTTGTAGTACTCTCTGAAGTTGAGGAGGAAGATTTGTGCTTCAGGATCATCCACCATCTCCCCAAACCCAGAAGCACCAGCTCCAAAAGAGTAACCAAGAGACAGAGACCAGTGAACCCAAACATGGTCTTTAGGAAGATGGTCTTCTCAGAGGGGTGGGACAGATTACAGGTTACACTGCCAATGCAAGGCTCTTGGCGACATGAAATGGAGCTGGGAATGTTGAACCCATACAAAAGGTACTGCCCCCCCAGGGATGCCGCTTCAAGAACCAGCCGAGCACCCARCTGTGCCACATAGACCCAGAGAAGCTTGAGGTTTCTAGCCGCAGAGACCCTTCTGCTGCTGTCCCCTTTGTGGGTCAGGATCTCTTCCTTCTTCATCACATTTTCTGATTCTTCCCAGTGCTCAATCACATGATAAAGGGTGAAGCCCAGATAGAGGACACTGGGCACAGCCAACAAGATGACTTGGAAGGCCCAGAAGCGCAGTGGAGAGAGTGGGTGGAAGGCATCGTAGCAGGCCACCTTGCAGCCTGGTTGCTGAGTGTGACACACAAATTCTCTCTGATCATCACCATAGATCCCAGGCCCACTGGCAGCCAGCAGCACAAGACGGACTCCCAGGAGAACAGGAAGCAGGAGGCGTCCCACAGGGGTGGAATGYTGGCTCTCCTCAGCCAACAGCTGCCTCAGGAACCTGCCACACATCCTGTAATGGAACAGAGGAGGATGATCAGTGAAGGTGTTGCTCATTGCCCTTTAGAGGGAGCTTGTCACTCTTGACCTTGTCACTGCTAACTGGAGGATCTGAAAAGCCTTTCTGATCCTCTCCAAAGTCTGGTCAATCAAATATAGCATTAGTCAGCTTTGCATACCTACAACACAGCACCTGAGGTAATTAACTCTATAAAGAGAAAGGGCTCATTTAGCTTACAGTTTTGGAGCTTCAAAGTGCAAACAGAATAGCACAGGTTTGTTGAAAGTCATCCATTGAATACCTCACTTCATGTCTTGGGTGGAAATGGCAGAGACTACATGTTGGAGCAAAATGCTCACATATGCAATCCAAGGAGAGGGTGGGAATGGATGGGATCCCACAACCCCTTTCATGAGCATCTCTTCAATGACCTAAAAAATTCCCATAGGCCCCACCTCTCAAAGCACCACCCAATACAGTCACCCGGAGAGCCAAGTCTTTATATATGGACTTTTGGGGGAATATTCATGCAAACTATAGCAAATATCAAGATTCTGCCCCTATTTAACTAATGGAATCATCCATGTAAGATAATGTTACAGTAAAGAATGTGTGTAGGGGAGCTGGGGTTGTGGCTCAGCGGTAGAGCATTCGCCCAGCATGTGCGAGGCCCTGAGTTCATCCTCAGCACCACATAAAAATAAATAAAATAAAGGTATAGCATCCAACTACAACTAAAAAATAAATATTAAAAAAGGAAAGTGTTTAGGTGTGTATGTGTGTGTGTGCATCTGTCTCTCCCTCTCCCTCTCCTTTTCCCTCTTCCTCTCCCTCTCCCTCTCCATCTCMTTCTCTTGACAGTCAATAGTCAACGAGGCATAAACACCTGAATTCTCCTTAATCTTCCCAAGTATGTGTCTGTGTGTTGAATAATCTTGATATTAAGGGAGTTTGGGTTATGTATATACAAGAATTGATCAGAAATCAGAGCCGCCTACTGTCTTTCCTATTCATATACCCCTCCCTTCCCTTTGTTCACCTTTGTTTGATTTACTGAACTTCTCCCTCTCTCTCTCCCTCTCCCTCTCCATCTCCCTCTCCCTCTCCATCTTCCTCTCCCTCTCCCTCTCCCTCTCCCTCTCCCTCTCCCTTTCCCTCTCTCCCTCTCCTGATTTCCATTTCTGTATTACTGGAATGGAGAACTGGCAGTTTAAGAATATCTATGACATAGTCCCAAAGACTAATAGTAAGAAACCAGGGTGCACTTTTATTTCTCACCTTTGGGAGCTTTTCTACCAGGTCYGGTGCCACTAACAACATCATCTTAACCATATCAGTGCTGACACTGGGAGGGTACGTGCATTCTCTTGCCGTCTGCTTTTCTCTGGTGCTGTGCCCCTGGGTGCTCACAGGTGTACTGGAATGATCTCTACTCCCATCATGGTAGCAAGACTAGAGGGGGACTATTTAAGGAGATTGATAGAGATGGGATTAAATAAACAGATTGGATTTCAAGGCTTAGTTTAGTCTGATGCTCTTTGAACCTTCCAAAATAGAAACAAGAGAATGATTTGAAGGTAACCCAGGAGAATCTGCCATGATTAAAGGCCACGGGGATTTGGGGCCAACACCAGAAGTGAGAACACAGAAATTCAATTTTTTTTACTCTCCTTTGCCATTGGTCTTTGGGTATGTATCTCCCTCATGTTGATGGACAAGTTTCAGACATGCATTAAGTTCTATGACCAAAATACCATCATGCTTCAAACCCAAGTTTGCCATATTGATCTCTGCCCTAACCAGTAGGTTTTCTCAATGCCCAGAAGCTGTTTACAACAATTTCCATTTAACCCAAATCTTTACAAACCTGGTTCTTCTCACTGCCAGAAGACAATGTGCTATGATCTGAATAGTGGTATCCTCCCAAAATTCGTATGTTGGATCCCAGTACCAAACGTGGCAGCAATCAGAAATGGAACCTTTAGGTCATAAAGGCTTTGTTCTTGTGGGATTAGTGCCTTTATAAAAGAATCTTGAGAGAGCTTTTCTTTTTTTTTTTTTTAAGAGAGAGGGGGGAGAGAGAGAGAGAGAGAATTCTTTAATATTTATTTTTTAGTTCTCGGTGGACACAACATCTTTGTTGGTATGTGGTGCTGAGGATCGAACCCGGGCCGCACACATGCCAGGCGAGCGCGCTACCGCTTGAGCCACATCCCCAGCCCGAGAGAGCTTTTCTTTCCACCCTTTCATCATGGAGGACACAAAGAAGTCACCCTCTGTGAAGATCAGGCCCTCACCAGATGCTATATCTGCTAAGACCCTGACCTTCGACTTCCCAACCTCTAGAACTTGGAGAAGTACATTTCTGATGTTTATACATTATATAAAGCCATGTTGATATAGCAACCTGAACAGACTAAGACATCATACAAATTTTCTTTTCCACAGAGGAAATAGAAACTCTCAAGTGAAATTCCACAGTTACTACAGCTTACTACTAAGATAAATGACATCTTAGACAGAGATGGCCCTACACTTGCCCAATGTTATTCTCCCAAATCTATTTACTAGGTCTCTACTTTCCTGATTCTTTAAAGATTTGATCCCCAAATTATCTTCCCTGTAATTCATATCTCTTACTTCCTGTTCCCTCTCTGGCTTTGAATATGCTTAGCTATCTCCCTTTAAATCTAATATCAATTACCTGGATTTCTAAGTTAACATGGCAGTAAATGAGACATATCTAATTTGTTTCATACCAGTTTCCAGATTATAATACCCAGTAATAATCATAAAACAACTTTAAATGAGCATGAGTATTAWAAACTATATATAAGGACAAAGCACATGCCAAAGCTTAGGCAGAAGGGATGGACTGAGATGCTCCCAAGGGATCATTCCAAGGGTCTTAGATTGACCAGATAAATATGTCTACCAGATGGGACACAAATGTGTTTTCAGCCACAGGGAGTCAGAGTTTGAATCTCTGCCTTCCTTCAGGCTCTATACTTCTACCTCCATCATAGACTATTAAACTTATGATGGCTATATTAGAAGTATATTGGGTTACTGAGATTTTTCTCTTAAAATGGGTAAGATTTTTAGAAGGCTTCATTTGTAATCTCTAAGAAGATATAAAGTTGGTCTCATAATTAAAGATGTAATATTAAAAATATTTCTTTCCAAAACTCCTCAAAAAAATGAGAATAKAATCAGGTGCAGTGGCACACACCTGAAATCCCAGCATCTCGGGAGGCAGAGGCAGGAGGATTGCAAGTTTGAGGCCAGCCTCAGCAACTTAGGCCCTAAGCAACTTAGCAATWCCCTGTCTTACAATAAAAAAATAAAAAGGGCTGGAAATGTAGCTCATAAAAAGGGCTGGGAATGTAGCTCAGTGGTAAAATGTTCCTGGATGCAATCCCTGGTTAAGAGAGAGAGAGAGAGAATAAATGGATTTTTTAAATGCATATACTCATGAGAAATAAATAACTGAGGAAAATTAATCAAAAATACTGCAAATATAATAGGACAAGAATCATAGCGCAATTAAAACTTGAAGGCAATATACGATATTTGCAGGAAAATCAAATTGGGACACTGGAAAACAGACTTGGGAAACTCTTTTAGAATTGAGTAGAAGAAAATGAATAATGAATGTAACAAAAAGTAAGTAAATATAGGAACAATATCTTTTTTAATTCTGAAAATCAAGATAATAATAAAATCACTACAAGTCTAACCTAAAACTCTAAAATGCTCCAAAATCCAAAACATTTCGAGCACCATCATAATGTCACAAGAAGAAAATTTCATACCTGACTTTATCGGACACGTGCATCACAGACAAAAGGCAAGTGCTCTAAAAATATTATATAAAATTATCTTCAGGGCTGTGTGAGTATGTATAAAACAAATGAATTTTGTGTTTAGACTTGATTCTCAGGCTCATGATACCTCACTATGTCTATGCAAATATTCTAAAATGTTTTTTTTAATCCAGAATTCAAAACACTTCTGATCCCATGCATTTCAGATAAGGGATACTCAACTTGCAGCTGACTTACTGCAAGAGAAGCACTTAGTAAAGTGCCTGAAAAAAAGTCATTCCTCCATAAATGTTTGACTGTTTTGTTTGTGTTGAACTTGAGCTCCACAGAAGACCAAAAGGAACATCTAGTTCCAAAGCTGGTGCTAGGTCACTCAACCTTGGCACTAGTTGGAACCCAATAATTCTATTTGCCTCTCTGCACAGTGGAAGATGTTTAGCAGTGTGCCTGGTGTCCACCCACTAAACACCAGCAGCATACTCTTTCCAACCAAAAAGGTCCCCAGACACCACTAAATGTCCTGGGGGCAATTTCATGCCCCTGGTTAAGAAGCGCTGTTACAGGGTAGCACTGGCCTATCATTTCTCCACTCTTGGCCTCTGTGAACAACTCTGTAAAGTAGTATGTCTGTAGACATTTCAAAGACCTTCTCAAAGAGCTTTTCTGGCCTTCCATTTGGGGGACCAGGATACTCAGTCCACCTTCCAGGTTGGATACAAATCTCCCCCCAATCAGTCCCTTTTGTGAGGAAGCCCCCATCCCACCTCATAAGCTACAGGGTCCCTGGAGTTGAGGAGACAGCTCCAGGGATCTGAGATTATCTGCCCTGGCTCTCTTGGAGAGTTATCAGACTGAATAGTAACTCAGAAAATTCTCAAATTTTGATCTCAGCCTCATCTTATTTCAAAATGCAGGCCCAATATATCAGGGATACCAGACCTGATTATAAGATGAATATTATTTTGGTGTCAACATACCTTATGTACAAACAGAGATATGATAAATTGTGGTATATATGTGTATTAAGAATTGTAATGCAGCTGGAGTTGTGGCTTAGTGGTAGAGCACTTGCCTAACGTATGTGAGGCACTGGGTTCAATTCTCAGCACGTATGTAAATGAATAAATCAATAAACATCTAAGGAATGAATCTTTTAAAAAAAGAATTGTAATGCAAAAAGAAAAAAGAGTACATGCATAATGGCATAATTTGGCGTGAACATACTTTATATACAGAGTTACAAAAAAATGTGCTGTAAATGGGTAATAATGAGTGTAATGCGTTCCACTATTGTCATGTATGTAAAAAATAAATAAATAAATGTTTAAAAGAAAGATGAATATTATGATGAAGAAGCAATGCTTGGGTAAAAAGTTAATTCCCCCGCCCCTCTGTCAACCTGTCTTCAGGGAACCTAGTCAACCCTGGGTCCCTCTCTATTGGATTGTAAATAACTGTCTCCAGGAGTCTGAGGATTCCCTCTTGAAATATAAACACTCCTGCTTTCCACAGGCCAGAAATTCAACAGGTACCTGTGAAAAGAGTCCTTTATTTTTATACTTTGTAACTTTCTGAAYTCTGTARGAATGTAGCTACATTACTTAATTGCTAGTATAAAGTGTAGGTTTCTATGCCAATTAACTGCTGTTTAAACTAGAACCTCAGAGGCTTAGTTCTTGGAAATATACCTCTTGGGGAGATGAAGTCAAGTCATCTTGAGTTACTGCTRCCCGTGGTAAAGGCCACTTGGTGATAACACAGGCATGTGTTTTACTGTCTTTCTTCTACACCTTTGAACTACTTATTATAAATTCCCTGTGCCTGGTCTTCCGTTACACAGACCAAGAATTCAAACCCACTAAGTTGTAATGGTTAAGAAATGATGTCAAATTTCCTATAAAAGCTCCATGTAACTGCAGCTCAGAGCCCAGAACTTTAAAAGCACTCATCTAGATCCTCTGCATAAATAAACCCAAGTTCTGCAGCCCTCCCGTGTTTGCCTGGTTTCTTGCTGAGCATGATTTCCAAAACACCAGCACCCATTTAAATGCACTCCCAGCAGACCTGAAATGTAATAAGGGGCATGCCTAACAGGGTCCAAGGTCAGGAATTCAAGCACTTCCCACAGTCTGTATCTCTGATTTCCTTCCCCATGACCTCTCTCTTTCTTGTACCCACCCTAGGACCATGGCAGACAACCAAATATAGAGGAATAGTTTGCAAATAAGTTTGGGAATTGGCAGAACTGAGCCCTGTCCAGATTTTAGTGAAGCATCACCTGTGAGTTCAAGAGTTGGGAAAGCAAAGAAAGACTTTTAGCAGATTTTCAAATAGCTAAAACAAATTCTTCAAATTCCATCATGATTTTGGAAATAATTTTTCTAAGCATCTTGTGTCCTTCCTTCCTTCCTTCCTTCCTTCCTTCCTTCCTTTCTTTTTTCTTTTGGTTGGGGGGGGGGGATTCCACTGGTGGCAGAACCATCCCAGGGAGTTTGGGAGTAAGGGAGGGAATGTCCACCAACAAGGGAAGAACCTGTCAATGCTCACCCAGGCTCATTGCTCCCATCTCACAGCTTTCCGGAAAAACACACCAGATGCCTCTAGTCATCTATTCTATTCATATTCTAGTATGGCCATGAAGCATCAACACCAGCATCAGGAAGAATGCATCATTTCCTAGCACATATCCAACTTCTAGATCATATCTGGATCAATAATATCCCCTGGTGATTTGTGTGGTCAGAGCTGGAGAAACGTGTCTAGAGACCAGCAGCCTCCCGCCACCACTACTACCGGCAGGCCCTGTGCCAGCCTGGCAGCTCTTCACCCATGCACTCACCTGCACTCACCAGGCAGCTCTGAGCAGAAGCACCAATCTCTGGGGAAAGAAGCAGAGAGAAGAATCCTCAGGCTGAAGCCCTGCAGGGTCCCAGCTCTCCCCTTGGCCCTGCCTCCTGGCACCACCCACTTCTCCCCCCTCCCCTTGTCATTCCTGGCATCTTCAATGCAAAGTGAAAGAATTGCAGCTGGAGGAGCAGGCACAGCCCTGCTGTTAAAGCATGAGCTCCCGAGAATGACTGTCTGTTGTTGAAGGCGAGGGGTGTGCTCTCTAAGAGAACAGAGACRGGGATTCTCAGACCCTGAAAGGGAAGCCTCTGCATATTTCTGTGGTGGGGCCTTGCAGACAGCAACAGAGAGCATTACCAAGGGTTTGAATATCTACTAAACCCCCTGCTCTCCTGCCCCAAGTATTGAAGCATAAGTTCACCCACAGAAAAGTGTGTGTGAGTGCGTGTGTGTGTGTGTGTGTGTGTGTGTGTGTGTGTGTGGTTTGCTGCATTTCTTCCTCCTAGAATTCATGGTGACTTCCAGATGTCCTCTCCTCTTGACTGAGAGAAATAACACAGACTCCCCTCTCAGTATGATAGGCATCTGCTCCATGTTCCCCCCAGCAAACTAGAAAGCCCAGCCCTTCTCCACCATGTCCAAGGAGAATTGTGACATGGCCATTCCTGCCTCCATTGCTAGCCAGAATTCCCTCCATGGGAAGGGGCAAAGCTGAGCAAGCGGATGGCCAGTTAGGAAAGTAACTCTGGAGGCTGCCCAACGGGGAGTGAGGGACTGGTTCTAGGCTGCTTCTTTGTTGTTGGAAACAGACCCATCGAGAGGAACAGGCAGCACTCAGACAGAAGAAGAACTCCAAACTTTATTTTATGCCAGCAGGCCCAGAGGAAAACAAACTCCAAATTCCGGGCTATGATCCAGTTTCTCACAACATTTATAGGTTATTTGGCCTCATCTTGGACCCATCCTATCACTGAGGGTGGATTTTTCTTTTTTAAAAATTCCTAATCTACATGACTGAAGGCCTTGGTGGAGGGGAGGGAGTCTCYAGATAAATAAAAATAAAGTATTTTTATAGAAACAAATAAGATGAAATGGCCCTTTTCACRGGCACCTGTTAAATCTCTAGCCTTGAAAGCCTCACACATTTACATTTCAAAAGGTTGAAGTCAGAGACAGTTGCTTACAGCCCAAAAGGTAGAGACCCATGGTTAATTAGGTTTCCTGGAGAAAGCCTCTCAGAAGGAAAGGAGAACTGAGTTTAAAATTTTACTTTACATCCAGGTCTGGTTTTGCCATCTCATTCCTCAATTTGATRGCCTCTTAACCTTTTTAAGGGACATCATCTTTGTCCGTATCCTCTAGGCTAAGCTGCTGGTAACTCTGGAGGACCATTTGGAAGTTCATGGCCTACAGGTTGGGGGAGACAAGTTGAGTCAGTATGTTAAGGATGCAGGGACAGAACGGAWGTGCCAAAAGGAGCATCAYAGTAAATAGACCAATACAGAAAATAAGAGCAGTCCATTTATTCCAGTTAGCAGTTGGTTCCTCAAGCTTCTGCCATGCATAGTCGACTCCCAGAGTGACCAAAGTAGGGCTSTTGTCCTTGGGGGCCTCTGGGCTGCCCTTGTTTATTTTGGATGTTCAACTTTCATGGTGCAGCTGAATCAGGAATGTACTCCCAATCATAAGAGGCTGGTTTTACCCTGCTGTGATCAATCTAAGAGGCCACTTGGCCATGTTCACTGGAGTAGGGATAGATAAAATGACAGTGAATYGACCCCTCCAAAGAGGCTTTAGGGGTTGGACATTTCATTCTTTTACCTAAATAGCATCTCCTAGTTTAAAGTGGTAGGTGTAACATTGTTTAATTTTTAGGTCTCATATACCTCTTATAATGGGAAGAGGACACCCATGAGGAATCTCATGATAGGAGAATTCTGTCTGTCTAATAGGGCTAGACCTAGTAATTAACAAAGCATTTGGCAATATTTGATCCAGTGTAGGTGGGCTTCCAGATATGCTTTGCTTAGTTGTAGCTTCCAGATGATCTTTAACCCCTTTGCCACAAGTTGTACCACCTTAGCAACGAACACTGGCCCATGCACAGCTGGGCTTTGGTTATAACTCTCCTGACAGATGTTCAAAACAAAGGTTGGTCAATATTGGCCTTGTCCCTATCTACTGTTAAGAATAAGCTGAGAATCCTCAGGGGATCACTTTTGGGAACTTGTGAGAAGCCTCTTAGCTTGTCTAGTGCCATCTTCTAGAATATGGTCTTGCTGACCTATGTGGCTTCCCTCAGAAGCATCAGGGATATTCCCTTCTCAAATGGCCCTCCTCTGTGCAGAATGTGCACTGATTGGCTTCCTGTCCTCTAGGATCCTGTTGATTCCCCTGATTTGGAGGTCTTGTGGCCCAGAGTTATAAAGCTCTTAGGGAAGTCCCTATCATTCCCTGGGCCCAAGTTGATCTCAGAGGGCAGGAGCCAAATATTGGTTATTTTCCTTGGCTCTTTCATTTTCTTATTGTTAGTCTCCAAATTTGGGGTTTAATCATCTAGCAGGCCAGTTGCACCAGTCTTAAAGTAGGAGTACTGTGTTCTAAATTTAATGTCTATAATTTTTTAAATATTTAGTTATAGGTTGACACAATATTTTTATTTTATATTTATGTGGTGCTTAGGATTGAACCCAGTGCCCCACACATGCTAGGCGAGCACTCTACCTCTGAGCCACAACCCCGGCCCCTAATGTCTATATTTACAGTTGTTTACTCCTTCCATTTAATTGGGGTCCCTATTATGCTGGAAGTCAGCCTTATATTTTGTCTAGCCTACAGGTGATGGCTCATTATTTCAAACTAATTCAGGTTATTGTATTAGAAGTTGTACTTCTGTAAAGCCCTGACAGACAAGAGTCATAAAGTTTACATGAAAAATACAAAATGAAATTAACAGGAGTTAAAAACATATTTAGGAACTCAGCTCATCCAAGTCCCACCACAACCACCATGCCACTCGGGAGCAGAAGCGTGGCCGCCCGGCCAGCCAGTCGCCCAGCGGCACCTTCTGCCCATCCACCTGCACACCCACCGCCCTCAGCAGCTGCCCTGATTCCTGCCCCCTCGGGCCAGGAGGGTATCATGGCACAGATGGCATCCACGGCCGCTGGGGTAGCCATGGGCTCTGCCATGGRACATGTCATGGGMAGTGCCCTGACTGGAGCCTTCAGTGGAGGAAGCTCAGAGCCTTCCCAGCCTGCTGCCCAGCAGGCCCCTACCAGTGCTGCTCCACTACAGATGGGGCCCTGCTCCTAGGAGATCAAGCAATTTCTGGACTGCTCAACCACTCAGAGCGACCTGTCCCTGTGTGAGGGCTTCAATGAGGCCCTGAAACAGTGCAAATACAACCATGGTCTGAGCTCTCTCCCCTGAACATGTTGGTGCAGACTCATTGGCCAGCTCTGAGATGGCTCCTGGGTCCTAACCCTGCACCCACCCCATCCCCTTACAGACAGCTGGACCATGATGACAGATTGTAACTGGGATTGGGAGTAAGAAGGAGGTTTCCTACCTCATAGATGAACTCAAGTCACAAATGTGCAATTAAAGATTTTATTTTAAATCACACAAAAAAATATTTAGTTTTTATAAKAGCTATGAACCAAGAAACATATTTTTTAATCCCCAACATTTACTTAAATATTATATTCCTTTTTTATTTTAAGATCACATTAATCCTTATATCAAAAATAAAATCTGTCTTTTAAACATAACTTCAAATGAACTTGAGTGGTTATCCTAACATGGAATAGGGTGAGAGGCAGAGTCTTAACTCAAGTGAGGTGGCCTCTTGACAAATCTTAGGTAAGATGTTTTATTTCTGAAACTGACCGTTACCTCTTTCTCAAATATTATTTGTATAAAGTTTTCATATACCATTTCCTGAGTCTATATAAATATCAGTTAACATAATTCAAAATTACATCTGAAAATGAATTAAACAAGCTAAGACAGCTTTGAACCTATTTTGTGGAAAAGTGACAAAATGTTTTCATATCCCATATTGTCAACCTTTAAATAAATTATGCTCACCTTGTTACCTGCCAAAAATGCATTCAAGTTCCCACCCCAGTGTAAAGAGCAAACAAAATATTGTATATAAGTTACTGATAGCAGGTTATTTTTATCCAATTTCAAAATATCAAATCACATAAATTTCCAACTAAATTTGGTATTATATTTATATAAGTCTGAAAGAGACTACTGCTATGAAAAACTTTAGTTTGGAAAACATCAGCTTGGTAAAGTGTTCTCCTAAACCTTATATTTTAAAGATTTGTATCCTTGGAGGACATGAATACATATAATATACAAAAGCTAGTAACAGCATTCCAATTATATGAATGTCCTTGTATTAATCAAGTCTAACTTATAAGAAATTTTTAGAATCCGTAGAGTAGTGTAATAATCTAAAATGACAGTTGTTTGTTTAACCAGAGTCRTATAAACCTTAATCCCTTTAAGATTAGTTCCCCTAAATAGTGAAGCCTAACAGATACAAGAAATTATCCTGATAGATAAAAGCAGATAAAYGTTTTGAGGAACCCTTGTTACTTGAACATATTTAGAATTAAATTCTGGTTTACATCAATACATTAATATTTGACCTCAGGAAAAAAAAACCTTAAATAACTTCAACTGATTGTGCTAATTATAGCCAATTTAATCACACACAAACCTCTTGAGATTAACCCTTCACAAACCTTGTGTAACTTACTTAGACACGCTACAATTTGTTCACTTTACCATACAAAAGACTTCCTTATCCAGAAACATTTCCTTTCCCTTCTAACTTTTTATATTTCCATACTGAGAACTTTCTTATATCTCTTTCCTAATGCTGACCCTTTCTTAAAATTTACATTCTTAAACAATCTTCAAAAAATTTCTGAATTTTTCTAATTACTCCATTATATTTTTAATTAAATTACTTATTTATTCTAATTTGTTATATATGATGGCAGAATACAATTCATTTCCTGTTACATATAAATAGAGTACAATTTTTCAAGTCACTGGTTTACACAAAGTATTTTCACACCATTCATGTCTTCAAACATGTACTTAGGGTAATGATGTCTAATTTATTCCACCAYTTCTTCTACCCCCATCCTCCCTCCTTACCCCTCCCTCCCCTTTGCCCTATCTATAGTGCCTCCATTCCTCCCATGCTCCACCCCCCCATTGCCATTATGAATCAGCATCCTCATATCAAAGAAAACATTCAACATTTGGTTTTGGGGGATTGGCTTACTTCATTTTAGCATTATATTCTCTAAACCCATCCATTWATCTGCWAATGCCATGATTTCATTATCTTTTAATGCTGAGTAATATTCCATTGTGTATATATACCAAAGTTTCCCTATCTATACTGAAGGGCATCTGGGTTGGTTCCACAATTCAGCTGTTGTGAATTGTGCTGCTATAAACATCGGTGTGGCTGTGTCCCTGGGTATAGACCAAGGAGTGGGATAGCTGGGTCAAATGGTGGTTCCATTCCAAGTTTTCAAGGACTCTCCATACTGCTTTCTATATTGGCCGCACAATTTTTCAGTACCCATTTATTAATTGGGTTTTTGTGGGTTTTTGTTTTTTGTTTTTTGGTTTTTTGGTGTTTAGCTTTTGAGTGCTTTATATATCCTAGATAATGGTGCTCTGATGTGCTCATTCTAAAGATTTGCTTCCATTCTGTAGGTTCTCTATTCACCTTACTGATTATTTCTTTTGCCTAGAAGAAGSTTTTTAGTTTGAAACCATCCTACATATTGATTCTTGGTTTAATTCTTGCATTATAGGAGTCTTGTTAAGAAAGTTGGGGCCTAATCCAAAATGATGAAGATTTGGGCCTACTTTTTCTTCCATTAGACACAAAATCTCTGGTTTAATTCCTAAGTCCTTGATCCACATTGAGTTGAGTTTTGTGCATGGTGGGAGATAGAGGTTTAATTTCATTTTGTTACATGTAGATTTCCAGTTTTCCAAGCACCATTTGTTGAAGAGACAATCTTTTCTCCAATATACGTTTTTGGTGCCTTTGTCTAATATGAGATAACTGTGATTATGTGGGTTTGTCTCGTGTCCTCTATTCTGTACCATTGGCCTACTGGTCTATTTTGGTGCCAATACCATGCTRGTTTTGTTACTATTGTTCTGTAGTATAGTTTAAGTTCTGGTATAGTGATGCCTCCTGCTTCATTCTTCTTGATAAGGATTGCTTTAGCTATTCTGGGTCTCTTATTTTTCCAGATGAATTTCATGATTGCTTTTTCTATATTTATGAGGAATGTCATTGAGATTTTTATTGGGATTGCATTGAATCTGTAAAATGCTTTTGGTAGTATGGTCATTTTGACAATATTAATTCTGCCTATTCAGTAACAAAGTAGATCTTTCCATCTTCCAAGATCTTCTTTCTTTCTTTAGCATTCTGTACTTTTCATTGTAGAGRTCTTTCACCTCTTTCATTAAGTTTATTCCCAAGTATTTTTTTAGGCTATTGTAAATGGGGTGGGTTTTCCTTGATTCTCTTTCTGAGGATTTGTCAATGATATACAGAAATACCTTTGATTTGTGGGTGTTGATTTTATATTCTGCTAATTTGCTGAATTCATTTATTAGTTCTAGAAGATTTCTGATGGAATTTTGGGGGGGTTTCTAGGTATAGAATCATATCATCRGCAAATAGTGATGATTTGAGTTCTTCTTTTCCTATCTGTATCCCTTTAATTCTTTCATCTGACTAATTGCTCTGSCCAGTGTTTCAAGAACTAGTTTAAATAGAAGTGGTGAAAARGGGCATCCCTGTCTTGTTCTAGTTTTTAGAGGAACACTTTCAATTTTTCTTCATTTAGAATGATGTTGGTCTAATTATTCCATCTTAATAAGATGAAATACTTTATGTTATTTACACAACTGAAACTTTTTTTGCACTTTTTGCACATAAAATTATATGTTAGAATTTTAACTTTTAGTAACTTTGTTTTTAGTGAAGACACAGAAACAAAGCAATCTCAAACTCTTATCTGTTTAACTTTTTTTAATTTTTGTAGTTGTAGATGGACAGAATGCCTTTATTTGTTTATTTTTGTGTGGTGCTAAGGATCAAATTCAGTGCCTCACAAATGCTAGGCAAGTGCTCTGCCACTGAGCTACAGCCTCAGCCCCCATGTTTAACCAATTTAAATTGAACCYTTTTTAAAATGTTTAAGTCATGTAAACTAAAAATTATTTGATWTTTTTTWAAATTTATGAGTACTCATTTWTCTATAAACAGATTTTGATTCCATGTACCTAATATATGTAGATACAACATATAATACACAGATGTACACAAGTATACATAAAATCAACAGGAAATACATAAAACCAACAGGAAACAAACATTTTATAGCTTTTCCTTCAATAATTGACCTCTGAACAAAAACAGTAGGAAAAACAGAAGACTAAAAATTCCAGTTGGACAAAACAAGACTAAATTACTAGTCTTCTTTTATTAATATACTCCTATCTCTCTATCTATCTCCTGCATATATATTATATACATAAAATATATATTGTTACTTTTTTGCATCATTACAATAAATATATTCATTGTAARTTGCGTACTTTATAAAGTGTTCTTGTTGTAAAAAAAATAATAATAATGAGACAGATACAAGGTGCAAAGGCAGGGAAGGTGGCAGAGTGGCTCATTATCCAAGCAGCCACAGTTATTTATACCAATAGGTTCCATTAGGTCATTAGTACCATAACTGCATTATTGTTTAGAGTATCAGTAAGGTTGCTTATTTTGCAGTTACATTTCAGAGTTACAATATGCAATGTTAGGAGCTTTGCGCAGTTCTCAAGAAAGTCCATGGTTTGAAGTTACTGTTAAGTGGGTAGCTTCGGGAGTACTAGAGCTTGGTCAAACAGTAGTTATCAAGCAAGCAAGTCCCTTTATTCCCAGGAGCCATATGCCAGCAATCAAGGTCGAGGCTTGATGAGGCTCTTACATAGAGGCTTCTCAGGGCATTGCCATACCAGCTAGGCATTGTACATATACTCGCTATGTTACTAGATCCTAAGAGAGATTGCAGGGCATTCTAAGGGTGGGAAACAGGGTRCCTGTTACMCCCCCAGGGAGTTTGCTCACCAGGGGAATGCTTCCCTGAACATTTCCACTGTCAGACTCCCTAAAATTACAATAAATCTATTCAATATAAATTGAACACTTTATAGAGTGTTCTTCTTTACCTTATTAAGTACAATTTAGTTTRATATAATAAGCCTAACACCCACTTAATTGTGATTTTTCTTTTGCTTGATAAAACTTTTGTGTATCGCGTGAGGGTGTGCACATGAACGTGCTTCCAGTGCTGCAAATTAAACCTAGGGTCTCATACCCGCCAGGCAAGTGCTCTAATGCTGAGCTACATCCCTGGCCCTAATTTTCAACCTTTTTGAGACACTTTTTATGTTGAACACAAGGCTGAGTTTTGCTTTGTATATCT